CGCGCTTCCAAGCAACTCCGAGCTACTCCGAGTGGGGGCGCCCAAGAACTCCGAGCTACTCAGAGCTACTCCGATCTGCTCTGAGCCATTCAGAGCTTCGAATAGGAGTATCAAGCTCCCTGGAAATCCAGGAAGCTTGGGCACCCAAGAACTCCGAGCATTCCGAGCTACTCCGAGCCACGCTCCGAGCTACAGAGCACGAGCTCTCCGAGCGGCTACTCAGAGCTACTAAACCTTTCAGAGCCTTAGACCACGATGGTAGATGTTTGGAAGCACAATACGGACCCTGCCGCAGCATTTGATCTCAACCTGTCAGCGTTTTGCAGCCGTGGGGTGGACTTTGCCCAAGATGTTTCACTTCGTCTTTTTGATCTTCGGATTGTAGGAGCCTTTAGCTTTGCTATCGCAGAGACGTGAGGCACATGGAAGGACAAGAAGTAAGATATAAGCATTGAATTCTGATGATAAATGTTGTGAAGAGGAAGGATGTACTTTGAATGCTCTTCAGCTCCGCATAATGAGACCAAGGCACAAGCAATCGTTGGTATTCCTGCTACCACACCTTGAAACCTGAAGGAGCAGAAAATGAAGGGGTCGCATGCAACGGTTTGTCAACAGGTGGGTAATGGAAATGCCTGTACTGGTCGGTTCGGCACTTCAGTGTCTATGACGATCGGTTTCTTTCCCTTTGAATCATGCAGTGAGTCCTTTTCAAGGATCGAGTCCTTCGTACGGAATCGTTGTTTTCAGCTGGCAAATGACAAGCTCGACCAGCCATTCGTAGGAAACCGGTACGTGGAGACCTTCCCCAAACTCGTGGTGCAAATCAGCAAAAGTCTCAGGCAACAGGCTGCAGGGTTATGTGAACTGCTTTATCGACTTCAAATATTGTGAGAAAACTGAACATGTGGTGCTTCCGGCGAGAGCAAGGAATATTGTGCTTGAGCACGGCCAGGCTCACAAGTCACCAGGCTGAGTCGCCAGGTTGGTGCTGTTTTTAAGCACCGAATTAAGAGCGCAGACCGAGCCATGTTGAGAAAAGAGGCGGTGCAATGATGAGTCCTGTCTGTTCATATGATCTGTTCCTTTTTGTCGTTTGAGTTTCCTGGCAGCACTCTTCTACACACCACCTGAAACTGCGCAGTTCTTCACTGGACAGGGGAAGCAGTGAAAGAAGCAGCAGGGGTTTGTCGTTCACTGTACATGCCATTTTGCATGACATTTGTGAGGATGACACCTTCGCACATTGGTTCGAGCAGGACTGGGGTTTGTCAGGGATTGGGGAAGAGCATTGATCAGTGACGACGGGCACTGACATTGACCGAGGTCTGCACCTTACCACTCTCCTGAGGATGTGCTGCGGGCAGTGCAGTAGCCGGGTCCTTAGCTTTCGACTTGCAGACACTTCTTGTCGAGCTGGTGCACAGGCACAGGTTGAACTCGACCTTCCAGGGATATTCGCAGCAAGACTTGCAGGACACGGTGTGCAGAGAACTGCACAGAAGTGGCTGCCCCTTCATGCCACGTCACAGCTTGTAGAAGTTCCTTCGATGCGTTCTGGACAACATCCATAAGAGCTTCGAAGAAAAGTGTCGTGCACCGAGTCTAGGGTGAAAGCTGGCGAGCAGTGCTCTCTCTGACGGCCCAAGCCCGAAGCCTACAGCTCGCAGGAGGGCTCCTCCGAGCACGGCTCCGACGCCGTTGGGATCTCGACTCCGCGTGAAAGCCTGCGGCAGCTTGCGGAAGAAGAGCAGTCTTCATCTCAGTTGCATGACCGGGACTTTGCGCAATTGATGGCCGAAGCTTCCAGCTGACGTCAGCGCACATAGACAGTGTAAAGTGTTTCAGAAGAAACCCACACTGATTGTGGTTTGTGATCATGGTCGTGGTTGTTGTGGTGGTGGTTTTGTTTTTTTTGGTTGTGGTTGCGGTGGTGGTCGTTGTTGTCGTTGCGGCCAGATCCCGACGAGTGGTCTTGCACCAGGCCCACAGCCTTAGAGATCCCGAGTTCTGAAATCGCACATAGGGAATGGAGCGCACATGCCGGGTACATCTTAGAACCAGTAGTAAGTAGTGTAAAGCAAACCCTCATCGGGGAGCCAGTTGCCATGGCGGTTCCGGGGCGCAAGCTCTTTCTCCTGGTGCTGAACTTCCTGAGCCTCATCCTCTTCTCTGGCACTGTCTTCGGCTGGACAGCCCTCTCTCAAATCTTGGTGATGGAGAACTTCTACTCAGAGCGTTGTGAAGGTGGCCCACCTTGCGACGCACAAACAGCGGCCTTGAATGCTGCGTTTACACTTGCGAGTACTGCATACGGTCTGTCCTCTTTGCCAGGAGGTCTTCTCCTTGACAAAGCAGGGCCGTTAGTGACAATCATTGTCGGCGGCACCATAGGTGTTCTGAGCGTCACGGGTATCGCGTGCTTGAGGTACATATTCCATAGCTGGCATGTAGATCTTTTTCCTCCTATGCTTGTAGGAGTGGCGATTGGAGGCTCGTTGATTCGATTCTGTGGCTATTCTGTCGGGTTCCTTTTTCCCTCGCACTCGGCTTTGCTAATTGCCACTGCCAGTGTCCTCTTTGATGGAAGCTGTTTGGTGTTCCCAGTCCTACGGGCCATTTACAGTGTTGCAGAGTACGAGGCCGTGTTCGGAGGCTATGCAGTCCTCGGTCTTATCCTGTTTATCTTGCTTCCCATAGCTTGGAAGATGAACATGCCCGAGATGCAGCGAGTTCGGGCAGAAGCCAAGTCCAGACAACAGACAGGTGGATCCATAGAGACAAAAACGCTTCTACAGCAGATGCAGAGTTTGGAGTTTCTCGCGGTCTTGTTGTTCAGCACTGTCCAACTAACGCATTCGAATCTTTACATCGGCTCCGTCAACGACATAAATGCCGAGATCGCAGAGAAGACGAAGAGCACGGAGCAGCTTCTGCATGTGAATACGATCGTTTCCTTCGTCATTCCTATGGGATTTCTGGCTGTACCGGCAATCACGGCTTCCATACGACGGTTTGGCAATGTTGGAACTCTGCAAATAACCAATGCTCTGGGGGTCGTGGTGAATGTCCTCCAACTGCTTCCGAGTTTGTGGCTTCAGGTTCTCACAGTCTGTGTGTTTGCGATCTTCAGGGCATTTCTCTTCAGCAATGTGCCGCAATTCAACGCTCACTACTTCGGCGTCTTGAACATGGGCAAGATTCAAGGTGTTTGTTTTCTGTCAGGAGGTCTTGTGAACTTGGTCCAGAACCCGTTGATCAATTATAGCCTACTGACGCTGAACAACTTCAATCCTATGCTGGTGCTATGCATAGCTGTAACCATCATCCCATCATGTGCTTGTGCGGCGTTGCAGTTTCGGGAAAGGCGGAAGATCAGAGAAACCCTCTTAAACTCTCCACCCGGGTCCCCGCCTATGCCGCGACCACGAGCGCGGAGTGCTTCTTTGGTCTCGATTGCCGCCATGGGTGACGGCATTCGGCGCTCTTCGTCTCTCGGCGTTTTGGCTTCGCCCATGCACGGGAGCAGCACCTCGCTGCAAGTCATGAGTCTTTGTCCGAGCAGCTCCGAAGGGGACCTTGCAGACTTCGATCTGGATCGACACGGTGTGTCTATGGTTGAAGAGGAATCTCAAACAAGCTATCAGAGGGAGGGCACCTCGTGACGTCCTTCGACTCCCAGCCTATAGGGATTTCAGCTGCCCGGTGTTTCCCATGTCAGGACCCACAGAGTCCCACGCGACGAGAATCGTCCTGCGTGCTTTTCTTCGATTCTTCGCACCGGCACAGGTCGGTCGCCAAGTGACAGCTCGAAGCGCGAAGAAGTCCGAGTGTTGCCTAGGGCGGGTCCAAGACTTTCGGAGTTTGGGAGCTGGTGAAGGGCTTTCTAAATTGGCGGTCCTTGACATCACTTAACATCCAAATCTGGTCGTTTCGGGGCTTTCCACTGCTACTTTATATAGCTTAGTCGAAGCTTATGGACCGTTGCTGGGAGCCGGGCGACAAGGAAGTGAGAAGTGTGGTTTCCGATTTGAACCACAGTGATTGCTGCAAGCTTGGCCTGCTTGGAGTGGCATATCATTGTTGTCAATGAGGCAAGGGCAGAAGCAGGGCACCAGTCGTAGCTGCCCGAAGGAGCAGGTGTCAGGCAAAGTTGCGACACGAAGCAAGCTCCACCCGACCCGATACGAGTCATCATGATGTCATGCCACTCTGCAACCAGCTGGGCTCACGCTTGATGGCCGGGTAGCGTCCGGGCAAGACGGGTTTTCTTTCCGTCCCTTTTGAGGAGCTTGATCGCGGGTTAGAGGGTGAACGAACTTTTTTCAGAATCTATCGCAGTCTTCGTTTAATTCCGCTTCCCTGCAGGACGCAAAACATCATCAAAATCAGGCCCTGGTCGACACATCCAGTGGGTGTTGTTTGTGCAAATGCTGACTCGCTCTTGCTGTACCTGATGCTCAGATCTAACTTGCTGTTCGGTCTGTTGTCCAGCTAACCGGTTTCATCCTTTCATCATACAATAACTGTCTTGGATCCTTTGGTATAAAGCGGTTTGACGATGGAACTGGTGAGAGAAGTTTGGTGTGCGACAAAATGCATCATTGCCAGCAGGCCTAAATCTCCAATGGGCTGTACGCCGGAGCCTTTGCCGTGCCACTAGTACCCAAGTAGTAGTAGTACTAGCAGTAGACTGCCTTTTGCGACTGCTACTGCCACTGCCCCTGTTGCTGCTGCTGCTGCTGCTGCTGCTGCGGCTGCCGCTGCTGCTGCTGCTGCTGCTGCGGCAAAGGCTACTGCTGCTGCGGCCTCGACGGCTCCTGCTACAGCTAGTGTACTGCGACTGCTACTGCTACTGCCATCGTTGCCGCTATTGCTGCTGCTGCTGCAGCTGCTGCTACCGCTACTGCTGCTACTGCTGCTCCTCCTCCTCCTCCTCCTCCTACTACTACTACTACTACTACGACGACTACTACTACTAACGACGGCAACGACGACGACGACGACGACTACTACTACTACTACTACTACTACTGCGGATACATGTCCACAGCTGCGTGGCTGACAGGGAGGCCTTCAAACCCTTAAACCCTGCAGAACATCAATACTTCTTCCAGCCCGAAACCCCAACTTGCAGCCACAGGCCCAAATTCCCCTGAAGCTACGGTACTTGGGCATTGCTGTGAAGCTACTGCCACCCCTGCCAAGCTTTTGCAATCTGAGCTTCATCCAGCTTTCTGAGCCCGGAACATTTCAAGAATCGGATATCGCCAGATCCAAGCTCATGTTGAAACAAGGTCCTCGACGTCTAAACCAGGCGTTGCTGGCACTCAGGCCGGCACAGCTCTAGTCCGGGAGTGAGTGCAGAATGGCAGAGGTCTTCAGGGACGCTTCGTGTCGGAATGCTGAATCCAGTCTTGATCGGAGCTGCAACGGACTGCTGTCTGGAGCCAACTCCACCTCACCTGTTTCTTCCCGTCCCTCGGTTTCACAGCCGTCCCTCGGTTTCACAGCCAACATTCTGGGAAGCAGACCCGTGACAAACAGTGACACAGCAGTCAGTGCTCACCACATCCAGGCAGGGGAAAAACAAAGCCAAGAACTTCGTTTGCTAGAAGAATATTCTGCGTCTGCCTCAGAGATTGGAGCTTGCCGCTCATAAGCTCGTTGGGGCCTGCTCAAACCATAATTGCATCGCAGCTTTGCTCGGAGACTTATGACTGACCTTGTGACCTTGAGTGTTGCTGTCGGATAGTGAGCTAGAAAGCACATGCGATCCATGCGCAGTCCTGACTCCTCTTAGGTGGGTCTCACCTTGGGCGAGGGGGCTTTTGGAGTCGTCTCAGCTCGGGGCTCAGTCTCACGGCACTCTGCGGAGCCTTTCGTGTCCGTCTGGGCCTGGCATGCTAGCATGTGCCCAGGTATGCAAGAGACGGTCCACGGGGGAGGAGTTTGCAGCACCTCGGCTTGCCAACTTGGACCACTCCTCTCTTTTCATGGCCCCGCTCCCTCCGTCTGAGGGCATTGTGAAGTTATCATGCCTCCCTTTGTTTTGAATCCTTCAAGTCTCTGAGGTGAAGATGGTGGACAAGGCCGGCACTCTGGAGCAGAGGGACTCACAGATTTAGAACCGCTTTTTCATATGAGGACTGAAGCTCCAAAGCCGAACGCCCTGGCTTCCTGAGCTTCGCGTTCTCTTTGATTTTGCTCTCCCTTCCTTAAGTGATTGGCGTGTGTGTGTGTGTGTGTTCTTGCCACGCCTAAGTGTGTGTGTGTGTGTGTGTGCAAACCCTGTATCCAAGGGTCTTCACCCGACAGCCCGTTTCTGACCCGACAATGAGGGACCTGACAGTCCCTTTCTGAGTTCGATAGCGGGGGCAATGATTCCTTTGGTGTGGATTGCCCAACGAAGACCGCACCATTGGAATGTGATATCAGGAAAAGGACGCTCTCTTGACGTACCTGCAATGATTGCTTCTGACACACTGGACTTCGTTGTACATGGTTCATCATCGCTGTTGGTCGCTGTTGGTTGGTTGCTGTTATATGAGTTACACGAGAGCACTCTGGATGGCTGGGGCTAAGCCGAGAACCCAACTGACAGCCTTTCTAGCCACAAGGTCAGTGTGTGAGTAGCATCTGGCGGTGAATTTGAGTACAGCATCCCTAGCTGACAGGTTCAGGCCCGGTTGTGGTTTAGCAGGTGATTGCAGGTCCGAGGAAGGGTTACTTCGTGCACTTCGTCGGAGACAGCCACGAACACGAGCTGACATGTCGAAAGTGGCTGACGTGTAGACCCATCATCTCTGGTCTTCGCATAAATCAAACTAATCCTAACTTTCCGTGTGTGTGTGTGTGTGTGCGTGCACGATCCTCAGTTTCGTGCTTGTTGGGGAGTTCGGGGTCTATAAGGCGCCTTATGCTGAAGCCAGAGTATCCCGAAGCTTTGCTTGGGCCATCGGCGGCAGGTTGAAACGCCAGTGGAAGCCATCCGCAAGGAGGCTGATATGCTGGCGAGCATGGCCCGGACCCGAGCGGGTTCCATGGCGTTCTCATATGTTCTCATGTAGAGACTGTGAGCTGCTCGCATTATTGCCAGTTCTGCTTTATTTGCTGTTGCTGCTATTTTTCTGTTGCCAGCAGGGCGACTGCAGAGCATGACTATGCTGACATGTGGTCGTTGAAATCACATCCTTGCAACCCAAACAGGATGGCTAGTGGTGCTCGTCGGTAGCGAGGAGCAAGCCTGCTTACCAAGGACCACCCAAATATTGTCAAGTTTCACGGCGTCTACTATGAGAGGCAGGGCTCGGGTACATATGAGTTAACAGTTGATTTGAAGCGCCCGTGTCTCAGCCTGTTGTGGATATGTACGGCAACCAGGAGCATTGTTCATACGTCTCATCGCATCTCAGAGAAACGGAGAAACCCCGCAGGACAAATGAGAAATGACAACTACAACTAGACAACCGAGGGAGTTCGCCTGGTGGAAGGTGCTTTGTGTGTATTGTCATGGACAAGTTGGATGGCGGCGACCTCGTAGAGGGACTGCAACGCCACCTCAAGGACTGGTTTGGCCACCTTTCGACTTCGTGCGATGTGGTGTGGGTTTTGAAGGTTTTTTGGAGTGCCGCCCTTATTCCGGTCTTGAGTCTTGATGGAACGTTCGAAAGCCGCCAGGAGCGCGGTCAGATTAACTGCCTCGACGTGGTTCACGTCGCGTGCGCTATGGGCCATGGGCCACGGGAGAGAATTTGGGGTTGAAGGTTCAGGGAGTGGCCTCAGGAGGGATTGAAGAGCAAGCCCTCGTCATCCACAAGCTGCAGCTGCGGCTATAGTGCTCAAGAGGGAAGGCGACAAGGTCGTGCTGTTTCGTTTTCCACAATTGCCGAGTTGAATTCAACCAAGTATGATAGTAGAAGACTGCGTTTCCTAGCATTCTTTCTGTGCATTCAGCTGCCGTCACGGAGCTATGAAAGTCCTGTAACTTAAGCTTACGGTTGTGTTTTCAGGATTTGGCTTGAGGTCTTCTGGCATGGTATGCATTTATCTTGGTGTATGTCACATGCCTGCGTGTATGCCTGTACATGTATGCCCCCCTCCCCTTGTGTCTGCTAGTGGAACCCGTGCACATATGCATGTATTTGCATGTGTGCATGCATCTCTGTAGACATGAATTTCAGCCATGTAAAGTCTTGCTCTACAAGCACGAAGAGGTACCAGATGGCTGCTTCCATCCACTATCTCCACCAGAGGTGCGGATGGCGTAAGGAAGTGCTTCGAAAGCCAGAGCCCCCAGAAACCGTCCTTCAGGTCAGAAGAGACTTTGGAGAAGTGAAGCCAAAGCTTGAAGATAATGGGAACTGCGACACCTGCTATCCTTCTGTCGACCAGAATGTTTGTCTAATGATGCTTACGTGCTTTTTGCGAATTTGGGAAGATCTTATCACGGATTCGTTGTGCAGCAACTGGGTGCCAGAACCTCAGTAGCTTTCTTGACGAGCCCCGACAAGCTTCGCTGCATTCAGCCCTACAAGCGCAGGAACGTGGCCCACCGGGACGTGAAAGGTGACAACTACCTCATGGACCGGAAGGCAGAGGGCTTGTAGTGGTGGCGAAAGATAGGAAGCTCAGCTTCCGACGAAGCAAGACCTTTGGTGTCGAAAGATGACCAAGCTGTTTCCATCCTATTCTAGGATCTGACCTCAAGCGCCCAAGCCCCGATCTGGACACTTCTCCACCCACTCGCAGAACATGACGGACAAGCAGTGCAAGATCGTCCTCACGGACTTTGGCACTGTCCAGAACCGAGTTTACGCTCACCTTTGCTGGAAACTCTTCGAGAGATCTCTCTGGCACAGCCCGAGTCGGAAGCCGGAACAAGCGTCCAAGCGCAGCCTTAACCTTGCAATACTGTGCAGTTCCAATGAGACCTCTATCCTCCGGAGCCCCTTATCCTGATGTAAATCCGCCCGAAAACCCCCGGAATGCGAAGCAAACACCGAGCGACCCAGGCTTGCACCGCCAGCACCACGGATCGGCTCTCTTCTGGAGCCAGCTGGCTGCGATGTGTTTCGAGCATCTGATTGCATTTTTTTTATTATCTCGGGTGGTCTTATTTTATGCCATATGTGAATGAGTGAAGAGTAATGACCGTGAATATTGACCCTGTGAGTCTGTTATGTCAAGCTGACGTGCCACCCAGTGCCCCCCGGAACCCACGATGTACAAGCCCACTTACCTAGGGAGCAATTCTAGCTGTTTACTTTCCGAGGTGCGTGCCGCCTTGCCTACGTCTCCGCCAATTAACAGCCTACTTACTGATTCACCAATCTACCAACCTGCCTCTGCTTGTTCGCCTGCGTGCTAGACTTCACAAGTTCACTTGCATACTGCTTTGTCTTATGTACTGTCTACCTGGTGGTGCTCATACCAGACTGCTTACTTCCATTGCAGCCGGGCAAGGCGAACCCAGGTCCGTCAGGGCGACCGCTGCGAAATGCCGTGATGCAACAGCTATCGGTTGGTGGTTTCTGTAGTCATGCTGGGCGTACTTCTGGCAAGTCTGATATGAGAACTCAGGTCGGAACGAAAATCTTCTGGCCCCCAGAGTTCTTCGACCGCGACTATGGGCAGAAGGTGCTGCCCTGAAGACTGACAGAAGCGGTAGCAGCAGGTATCGCAGCAGTAGTCGTGGCAGCTAGCATGAGCAGGAGTTGACCAGCAGCAGCAGCAGCCTTTGCCGTCCACACTGTCGTTCATGTCGTTCGCGTCATAGCATTGTCGTCACTGTGGTACTAGTAGTTGTGTGCTGGCAGCAGTGGTTGTGTTGCAGCAGCTTCAAGAGCGGGAGCGGGAGTGGGACGGAGGGAGCAGGGGCCCTGCGGCCCTACGGTGCTGTTCGCATCAAGGGCGATGTTGAGCATTTGCCAGCTCGACTCGGGCTTTGATCGTGCTTTTCTTCTCAGCCACGCTTCACGGTAGGATGCGCTCCGAGAGTTTGAGAGTTTGGTGCAGTTTCCAGGGAGCGGTCTGGTCAGGTCGATGTGTGGGCCATGGGCGTCATCATGTACGGTCTCGTTAGCGGCAGGGGCCCCAACCAAAGAATTGCTGGCATGAGCACGCAATCGGTATTGAGGCCAGCAAAGCTTTAAGCGTGTGCTCGTGCAGTCGTCGCAGCACATAGGCAGGTGCAAGCCTGTTTGTACCTTTGCATTCCGGTGTTCTGTCAGCGCACTGAAGCGCCAGAGTTGCTGGTTGACCTCGCAGAACTTCCCCTATTGAAAAGGAGTGATGCGCAATCGTGGATATCCGAAAAATGATCGACATGTCTTAGCGAGGGTGCCCGGAAGACCCCTACTGTAGGACTCTGCAGGATCATTGAATCGGCAGTTACAACTCGGAAAAGTGACACATGGGGGGGGCACTGTCACAGCATGTTCTAGGAGAAGCAAGGTCGAGGGATAGCTGCCGTTCTTCAGAACTGCGCGAAAGGAGTCGCATGCTCTGTTCGCATCTGGTTCTAGATAAAGAAACAGTCACTATCAAAAGCGATTCATAACAATATAATCTCACCTCGCCATCAGCATTCCAATGTGGGCACAGCTGAACGCACAAAAGGATACCCGCCTCATTTCGACGAATAATTCATTCCAACTCCAAACCACGTCCGTCTTTGAGGCCGGTTCCCTTTCCGAGACGAGAACGACGTCAGGCCTGTGCTTCGTGGCACCTGACTTGGAGACATGTCACCGAGTCTCGGACGTGGACTTCCGATGCACAGCTCTATCGCTGCTGCTACTGCTGCTGCTGCTGCTGGACGACGACGACGACGACTACTACTACTACTACTACGACTACTACTACTACTACTACTACTACTACCAGGAAACTAGTACCACACTGCTTGCGACAGCGACTGCTACTGCTACCGCTACCTCTACTGCTGCTGCTATTGCTACCGCTACTGTACTACTGCGGTTGCGCGACGGCGACCGCTGCTATTGCTGCTGCCGCTGCTGCAACTGTTACTGCCGCTGCAACTATTGACAACTACCCTTGCTCTCGCGAAAAGGGCCAGCTCCACAGTGTCGTCTTTCCATTTTCCATGCCAGGAACAAGGAAGTGCGCATTCCGAAGCGAGTTCACCCAGTCTGTGAGGCCAGCCTCTGCAAGCGGAGGTAGGGTTGGATCTACCAGGCATCATTCAGCCTAGGCCTTGTAAAGTATTGGAAGCCGGTTGCTTCGAAGTCTCTTAGACCCCTTGGCTGGTTCTCCAGGAGTTCATCCGCAAGATGCTCGAAAAGAACGAGAAGGCTCGGCTGAGCTCCTCGGAGGCGCGCGCGGCCGTGGGGTGTGGCCCGCTTTCTGCACGTTTTGTGAGTTTCCCCCCTTTAAAGTATAGAATCCAAACATCGTGATCGGCATCGCATCGCAGCGCCAGGTGCCTACGACAGAAAGAGCCCCCGGCAAAAAACAGAGACCCCGCCGAAGGTAACAGGTCTGAAGAGTCAGACACAACCGGCAAGAGAGTAACAACAAGACCCTGCGCAGAACAACTTCAACCACAAGACTGTGCAGAGACTTCAGGCCCAAACGCTGAAAAACCAGGCAGCGAAGCAGCGGCAAGGCAACTCGCCGCATCATGTGACAAATCCTGAACCATGCAGGAGTCTATCAGGCACCCGAATCCTCTAGTTGGAAGCTTTCCACAAGCTCCACGGGGGCCTAAACCGTGCATCTGTAAGTTTATATATAACTCTAGATCCTTGGACCAAGGAATGCTAAATGCCCGGCTGCCATGTGCAAACCCGAGCCCTGACATGCCCCGGACCCCTAGACCCATCTGAAGCCGAAGTCTACGAAAGCCCAAAGCCCAAAACCCTAAAACCCCTAAACCGAAGTCTACCAAAACCCTAAAACCCTAAACCC